ATAGGGAGCTGAGAGTAAATGAAGTGCTGTGGCTGCAAAAGTCTACCCCAGTGTGTTCAAGGGCTGAAATAAATGTGGAGACTAGAGAGCCAAGCTGGAGAAGGGCAGGGGCTGGTATGTGCAGAGCTATAGAGACCAGTGTGAGAATCTGGTCATATCCTAAAACAGACGGGTTTTCTCATTTCCGTGCAATTTGATTATCAAAAAATAATCCATTGCAGAGCTGGGGGTGTAGCTGAGTTAGTAGCATGCTTGCCTAACAGGCATGAAGCCCAGCACCCCATAATACCAAGTGTGGCATAGCACATGCCCACAATTCAGGAGGTGGAAGATCAGAATCAAGGTCATCCTTAGTGACCTATTGCTTTGAGGCTAGCCTGGACTGCATGAGATTGGGGTAGAGGGGATTCCCTTATAGGTTAAACATCCCTGGTTAAGTAGCAAAGTTTTCAGGTATGAGAAGTTGAGAGTCAGGGCTAGTCCAGCCCTCCCATCCCCAAAAGCTGCCTCTCCCAGCACAACACCCCAGACCTCCCTTAGATAGTGTGGCACATGCTCCTCCCCAAGCTGGGAACAGCCTTCTCATTCTTCTCAAAAGGCCAATCCCTCCCTCCCTAAGACCCAGTTCGGATGCTACCACCCTAAAATGGCCCTGACTTGTCTAATCTCCAAGAGTAAGGGCAGGAAGAATGAGATCTTGAGGCCAAAGATTGAACCTATAGTCATCACAACAGATGAGATTTCTAGCATCAAGTGGATATGTGGCCCAGCTCTGTCTGTGGTTCAACCTATGGGTTGCATTTGTTGTGGCCATGTTTTCACTTGTTTGCCTTCACTAGGCAGTGCTTCTTGAAAGAATGCCCACACCCCTAGAGCCTGTATGTAAAATGTATTGAATACATCTATAAGCAAATGATCCCATCAGCAAAGAGCTTTCTCCCAAAATCTCCCAGGCATAGGGTTGGCAGAGCTTCCTTCCAACTGAAGGAATCTCTTGTGTCTCCCAATTCTAACAGAAAGCCATTCACTGAAGGAGAGAGGACAGTGGCTCAGGTTGGTCATAGGTGAGTTTTCTGGGGAGGCCTGGGGAGATGTCTTGACCTATAAAGTGTTTGCTGTGCAACCACAAGGACCAGAGTTCCATTCTCAGAACTCACATTTTAAAAAGCCAGGCAGGGTGGTGTGTGCTTGCAATCCCAGCCCTGGAGCTTGCTAGCCAGCCAGCTTAGCCTAATCAGCAAACCCCAGATCCCAGTGAGAGACCCTGTATCAGAAAACAAGATGGACTGCTCCTGAGCAACCTCTGGTCTCCACACACAAGTGCACACATGTAACATGTTCACTGGTCTGCTTTATCAGGAGAAGAATCATCCAGAAGTGGTTCTGACTAAGCCAACCAATGACCACAAATGATGTTGTGCCATGAAGTCAATTGACCTCTTGATGTCTTTCCCACAGCCTGGGTGTAACTCTTATAAACCAGAAAGCAGTGACAAGTCCAGGTCCAGGCCACTGGTCCTGGCAGACTTTTTCAGACCAGCTTTTTGGTACTGATCATATTGTTTCCTCTTCTACAGAAGAGGATCCTGAGTCCCAGGGAGATCTACCCTGGATTCATCAGCCACCTTCACAGTATAAGTCGCTGAGATGAAAGACCCAGCTCTCCAAATTGAGAGCATGGGAAGAGGGGGGGAGGGAGCTGTGAGAATGAGAAGGGAAGAGGAAGGATGCAGAGGTCATGAGGGAGCAGAAAGTTTGAGTCCGGGGAAGAATAGAAGAAAGGATATGTGATAGGTAGGGTTTTAGTTTGGTGGAGGGGGGTGGTAGGGGAGGACGGGAGGGAGAGGGGACTGGGATTGTCATGCAAAACAATCTTGTTTCTAATTCAAATAAAAAAATCTGAAAAAAAGAAAGAAAGACCCAGCTCTCCTTGCACCTAGCTATATTCAAGTGATCAGGAATGGAAGGGAGGGCTGTAACTTTGGGGTTGCACTCATGCAAGTAGAGGCATGTCTCTGCCTTCCTTTCCCATTTTTTCTCCTTTCTTGAAGCTTGGGAAGTCATTAGACCACACAGCCAAGGGCAACACCTTAGGAAGATAGAGCTTAGCAACAAAGTTAGAGCCAGGGCCCATGGTATCTGGGCACATGACCTGAGACACCATTCAGACCTTCCTAGTGAGTGAGACTGGAAGAAAATAGGCTATCTCATCACCTCACACACATTAGGGTGGTTACCACTGAAAGGGAGGAGAGAAAGAGTTGAAAAGGATGTGGAGTAATGGAAACTTTGTGGAACAGCAATGTGAAGCAGTACAGAGGCTGGAGAGATGGCTCAGTTGGTAAAATGTCTGCTACATAGCATGAGGACCTGAGCTAAAATCCCAGCTCCCATGTAACAAGCTGGGTGCAGCTGCACACACACACACACACCACACACCTGTAACCCCAGTGCTGTGGGCAGAGGAGAAAGGAGGCTTGATGTGGCTTCAGCAAGCCACAAACTCCTGGTTTAGGGAGAAACACTGCCTCAAAGACATAAGGTGGGGTGATAGAAGACACCTGGCACCTTCCTCTAGCCTCCTTGTACACATGCACACAGATACACAACCCACAAACAGAAATTTGCGCACACAGACAAAATAATAATATGTGACCATATAGAAAACAGAAAGGATCTCATGAGAATTCAAAATAATTGCCAGAGGATCCAGCAATTACACTTCTGAGTATACTCTCTGTTCATAGCATTATTCACAGCAGTTGAAACATGGATGGAACCCAAGGTTCACTGAAGGATTAACAGATAAACAAAATGTGGGATATTCTGGCCTTCAAAAGGAAGGATAGGCTGATGTACAAGGTGATGAACCTTAAGGGCATTCTGCTAGGGGAAATAAGCCAGCCACCAAAAGACAAATGGTTACATGATTCCATTTATATGTGGTACTCACAGTAGTCAGACACAGACAGACAGAAAGTGGGATGGTTGCTAGGAGCTGGGGGAGAGAAAGGAACGAGTTGTTTTGAAGGAACAGACTTTGAGTTTTGCAAGATGAAAAGTTATGGAGGAGGCTGGTGGTAATGCTTGCATACTATAGACGTATTTAATGAGATGTGCACTTAAAATCTGTGAAGATGGAGACTGGAGAGACAGCTCCATGGTTAAAAGCACTGGCTGTTCTTCCAGAAGACTGAGGTTTTATTCTCAGCACCCACATGGAGGCTCACAAACAACCATAACTCCAGTTCCAGGGATCCAGTGCCCTCTTCTATCCTCCACAGGTACCAGGCACACACAGTGCATAGACAGTACGTGCAGTCAAAACCCCATAGTCATAAAATAATGATGCCTGAAGCTCAAGATTTAGGTTATGTAGCTGGGAGCACGATAGCCTGGGGATTATGGTCTGCTGGGAGAAGGGGTTTGCTCCTGGGCCACCTGATCTAACCAGGCAGATGGGCCAGTTCCATTTTGGTTCTTAAGTCATGGTTAAGCACGCCATTTTTGTTTCCTATTAAATTTCATGTTATGTGTGTTTCTTGGGGTGAGGGCCGAGGAGCTTTCTGAAAGAGCCTGCTAGATCACCAAGGAAAGATAGGGAGTGAGCACAACAGATGTCCCACCATGTGCACACCAGGAAACTTGGCAAGCTATTCAGACACTGACCTGTTCCTAGCCCTTGAACTTCTCTCCCTAGCTTCCCCCAGACCCCTCACAAAAGGACAGCAGAGGGTGGGACATCCCAGAGGCTCATTCTTACCTCATGCCACTGTGAACCCCAAAGCCATAGCTCTTGTTAAATACTTTGAGCACCCTGGCCAGAGGATACCACCCATCTGGGATGATAAGAAGGGAATAAAATTGAAAGCCCCAAGCCAGCATGGAGGGTAGCAAGAGATCTGAAAGGGGGCTCCAAGAGGGAGTGGAAAGGGAGAGTTGGGGGCTCCTAGGTGAAGAGGTAGGGAGAATTGGGAATTCATATGATCATGACAGATTGTATATATAAAATTATCAAAGAATTTTAAAACAATAGTCTAGTTTTTTTTAAAAAAAAAAAAAGAGTTCTGAATGGCAGGTTTGTAATTTAATTCTAACTTTTTTCTCTCCATCTCATCTCCAAAGCCAGGAATATCCATAGCCCATTGTTTAACATTCAGAAGGCCCCCAAATGACACTCAGACAGTACTGCACACTTTTATTTACAGAAAACACAAATAAAGCATTTCAATTTTCATTTAGCAAACTGATTCACATTTTTTTGTCTTTTTTTTTGGCACAAAGAAATATCACAGAGGGACCCCAAGATCGATCAGGAATTTCTAAGATTCATTAGCCATTACTGGTCCAGGGGTAGCCACAAGACTCAGACAGACAAGCTCATCACAAACCAGATAGAAAGGAAGTAGTCCCAGTTCACCTCACAGTAAAAGCCTGCTCACCACCAGGCAAAGGTGTGCAGGAGGGACAGGTGCCCTGCTCCAAGGGAGAGAGTGGGAATCTGGGGCAGGAAGCAGGGATGGGGGAGAGATAAACTCTTTTCCTAAACCGGGGAGAGGTGGTCCCTTTGTGTCCATTCTCTTACCTTGAGAAGACAGTTGCAAAAACAAGAAGTTGTGTGCTGTGTGCACATGTGAATTGTGAGTGGGTGCCTGTAAACACTGTCCCCATCCACATAGAGACCCAACATCCTTGTGTCTGAATGGGGTGGGGGGGGCATACCCCACATCACACTCCCTCAGCCCCAGTGATTCCCCTCCAAGACATAGTGCAAATATCAGGGGCTAAAAGAGGCAGGGGAAGGGGAGTGGACAGGAGGTGGGAAGGACACACAGACGGTGGGAAAGGCAGGAGGGAGGGGAGTTGGCAGGGGTGAGAAGGACACACGGACAGGGTGGGAGAGGGAGGAGGGAGATAAGGCAACAGTTAAAAAATCGTCCATAGTAGGTCCACGTCAGCAAAACCAGCGCCACCTGCCTCCCACCCCCACCACACCCGTGTCACAAGAATGGTCGGAAGTCGCGCTCCTCCACCAGGCTGATGGCCGGGTTCTTCAGCTCCTCCTCCGAGTTGGCCATCTTGTAGCCCAGCTGGGCCAGCACCTGCTGGCAGGCATTCTGGGCAAAGGCCACGATGTCATAGGAGAGGCGGAAGCGCCACTTCTCAGCTGTGGCCGCAGAGTTGCGCACTGTGCCATACTTGTGCTTGCCCAAAGTAGGGTCGCCCCGTGTATTGTTCTGGATCCAGCGTGCCACGTGACCATCCAGGGGGATACCCAGGAATTCGTAGATCTCCTCTGTCTTCTTCATGGGGTTTCTGGCCAGATCCTCATAGCGCACCAGCATGTACTTGCCCTTGAGCCAGGAGGGCCGCATCAGGCCGGTGGACACGGAGCTGGAAAAATCCTCGCACACTGTCGTCAGCTGTGTCACGTCCAGGTTGTAGGGTTTCCTCCCTGTGCCGTACCAAAGCCGCCAGAGTCGGTAGGTGTCCCGGAAGGTCTCACTCCGGGAAGCCAAGATGCCACGAGGGTCTCGTACCAGCTGGATGACCTTGAGGTTCAACCTGGGGTCTTCCACCAGGGCTCGAAGGTCATTCACCTCAGGCACCCGCACAGTCTTGATGGCCACATGACTGCGCTCACGACAAGCCTCAGCCGCCAAGGTCAGGTTCAGCAGGCCACACTTGCGCACACAATCCCCCTCCTCCAAGACCAGATCAGGGGACCCTGGGGGGTCACACACTGGACGGGAGCAGAGGACCCTGCTGGCCCCTCGGCGAAAGACCCTGTCAGTGGTGTGGTTGATCGGAGGTGGCTTGATGTAATTCTCTAGAAAGTAGAGGTCACAGTCATAAAGGCTCCTCAGCAGGTCCCGGCTAGCCCCTAGCATGACCCTACGATCTGCCGAGCTCTTGCCCTGGGTGAAGCGGGGAATAAGCGTGTTCTGGACATGGTAGAGAGGCTCGAACAGGTAGAAGACATCCATGTGCTGATTGAAGAGCTGGCCCACAAAAGATGAGCCACTGCGTGTGGTGGCCAGGATGAGGACGTGGATCTTCCTAGAGAGGTTATAGGAGAAGGTGGGGCCCTCCTCGCACAGCCGCTCTGCCAGCCCAGTCTCTGTCATCCCAGGGCAAGTATGGAAGGATTTGGCAGTGAATGTGCGGATGGCTGTGTATTGGATGGCAATAGAAGCCAGGGCAAGCAGGAGGACAGCCTTCCAGGAACATTGCATGGCTGGGCACCGTCATGGGGCTGCTGCTCCAAGGCACAGGGTCTGTGGGCAGAGGACAGCCAAGGGTTAAGTGCTTCACACAACCAAGAGCCTCCATGGGACCCAGGAAAACACCCAGCTCCTGCCCAGTGCTCACACATCCCCTAGGACCTACAAGCCTGCACTGGACTGCCATTTTCTTGATGTCTCTTGGGAGCTTCTGAGAGCTAAACAGACAGATTCCCTGTGCCCCAAGAGCTAAGCAAATTGTGATTGCAGAGACCTCCTAGAATGAGCTCTGGTTTCCTATCCGAGCCCACTTACTGTGCCAAAGTCTAACTCACCCAACTCCCACATCTAGGGGGTGCCTCATGCCACTCCCTGCCACTGTCTGTGATTTCTACCGGCAACTCCTGGATCAGGAACATCTTCTAATCACACGGACTGATACCCACTTTCCCAGACAATTGTCTTTTTCTCCATCCTCTACCTACTCTTAGAGGAAGGATACACACCAAATTCCTACCCCCAAACACAAGTCCTGGAGAGCAGGGACCCCTATGCTCCATGAATTCTGAGTTGACAGCAGAAGCCAGCATGGCCAGGATCTTCCCACAATGGGCCATGACCATTCTACCTTGCAAATGGGGGAACCCAGCTACCTCCAAATGTGGACTTCTAGGCACATTCCCTTGGAGAAAGGGCAGGTCCCAGAGGCTACTGGGATGTGTCTCTGCCTAGGACCCAAGGTTTGTTTCTGGCTAGAGGCAGTGATGCTCACTACCCAGAGAAAAGTCCCTGGCTTCTCCAAGCCACTCCTCCAGCCCTTTGGTCCACAAAAGAGAGGATAGGTAGGGGCCACAAGAAGGCAGAAAAGGGAAGTGCATGCCATGGGCTCACAGTGTGCCCCAAGTATCTTGCAAGGTGGCCCAGGAGATGCTGACTCAGCCACCAGGTCCTATGAAATACCAGGGCTGTCCCAAGACCTCAACACTTACCATAAAAGGGATTGCTGCTGCACAGTAGCGACTCAGCTGCCAGTGTCTCAGATCCAGCCTGTCCGGGAAGTCCAGTGATCCTCACCTCAGCTCTATGACCAGCAACTGTGGAAACAGCAGGCAGGATGGGCTTGGGCTCCAGCACCCCCTTATCTTTGCCTTTCTCTGTGCCCCACAGTCTGATTCTGGGACACAAAATATGACTTTGCCTGCCCCATGCATTGAGTGCAAACTCGGGGCTCCAGCTGATCTAACGCTACCCCTGAGCCATGAAGCCCCAGCTTTCAAGCTGCAACATTTATTTCCCACCCGCAACAAGTCATGATCCCTCTTCCCATACCAGGGCTCCTCTGGGAAGGAGCTGGCTAGCATGCATGTCCAAGTGCCTGGTAAGCCACAGGCCCAGGTGGGTTCTGTATTGGAAATGAAGGAAAACAATCCTGACCTTCCAGAGTTCAACTGGTCCTGTGATGGAAGCAGATCACCCCAGGCCTTTGAGTCAAGATGGTGGCTCCAAGGGGACAGCTGGGGATAAGGGTCTTCTTCCAACCATATGCAGCACACACAGCAGCTACCTGAAAACCAAAGGCACACTTAACCAAGCCCAAGTAAAAGACCAAAGCCAGCATGGCTCTAGTTAGCACCTACTAAGGGCTGCACAGGGCAGCCCTTTCCCCAAGTGAGCAGATTCACTCTATAAGCAGATATCAGCCCACAGCATAGGCAGCAGTGCCTGCTGGGGCCTATGGCCTGCTTTAACCCCATCTGGAACCTTTATACTTTCTCTCCAAGACACAAATCTATTCTTCATGCTTAAGCATGCCTAGCCTTCAAACATACACCAGGTTCACTGTCCCAGCCCATCCATGAATCACCATGGGAGGGACCAGAATACAAGGGGTTAATTCTGAAACTTGGAATGTATGTTCTCCTTTGCCATTATGTCCATTATTAGTTAGCTCATGACTGGTAGGTAACCTTGCATCCTTTGTGCGCATCCCTCCCACAGTCTGCTGTGTCCTGAGCCTCTAGAGGGCAGGGAGGTGGACCACCATCTCCCAAGCAAAGAGAGACACCATTTGGGGTACCGTGTCATTCTTTACAAACTGCTCTGGTAGAGCAGGGGCCCACTCCTATTGCTCAGATGGGAAATTTAAAGACCACTGTATGACTCACAAATGGGAAATAGCAGGGACCTGAGTCCCTCTGCATCAGAGTCTGGCCAATGCTCTAATCCCTTCACCATCGGCTCAGTGTCTCAGGAAGAAAGCAGAACTATGGGCTCTGCTTGCCTGGGGAGAAGCACAGGGTCTGGGCCAAAATGGTCATGAGGCTTGAGATCTGGGAGTCCAAATTAAAATGTGCTACACCACTACATGTAGGAATCAGTACTAGGTCACCACCAAGAGGCAGTTAATAGGGAAGGGGCACAGTCCTGATTCTCAGGAACCTCTCTGTGTTCAAAGTCACAATCTGGACCACACTCAGCCTCGCTCCTGTGGCAGAGGACACTGCCCCATGGTGGGAAGGCTGAGGGTAGTTGGGGAGCCCTCTCTACTCTAATCCCAGGTCCTTGCCAGGTGCTCCAAGGCAAGCAGCACTCTTCCAAGCAGAGGATGCCAGTTGTGACTCCAGCGAACTCAACCGTGTTTCTTCACAGGCATCTCCCAATGATCTAGACCAACAGGCCCTGACCAAAACCCACAGAAAGTCAACACTCTCAGTCCTCCTGTGTAAGCACTCCACCCTCAGGCACATGAACCTCCCCCACCCCAACCTCAAGGCTATGAGGCTAGTGCCTCACAACCCATTTGGCAGAAAAAGAAACTGAGGCTCCTTGGGTTACAACAGTTCATGCCCCAAGAAAAGGGTAGAGCCAAGATCCCAGCCCAGGCTATGCATTCTGAAAGTCATGATCAAATCCATCTGTTGGATCCTCTCCAGGCCCACCTCTAATTCATTCCCTTTGGTTTGCATCAAGACAGGTTTCCTTGGCCCTGAGCACCCCCACCCTGCAATTCTAGCTCTAAAGATAGAATACACACAGAGTTCTCTTCAGAGAATAGTCTTGCATCTTGCCCAGGAGGGAACAGACAGTTCAAGATCTTTTCCCAATTTCCCTTCCCACTCCACTTTGAGAAACTCAAAGGCAGGTCTCAGAACTGAGGTTGTGCTCACAGGCATAGTTCCTTAAGGTGAGGATACTCCTCTCAAGATGGGCACTGCGGGCACGGGCACTACGGGTCCCAGCTGAGGACCATGTGCCAGCCTTTCAGGAGGGCAAAGCGAGATCATGAGAACAGGAAGGAGGATGTTAAGACCTGCTGAAAGTGCTCTGCTCTCCTGCCAGCCTGGCACAGCCAAGCCCAGAGCTGGCCAACGGTCCTTGGTATGCCAGAGGCATTTGTCCTGGAAACCAGAGGCCCCAGGGCCAGGTCCTGTTGTTTCCAGGCAATCCTTGGTCTCTGCAAGAGATTTCTCAGTGCCCTGGTCCTCCAAGCCAGACTTGGGGGCCTAAATCCTTCTGGGTTTCCAGGAGCTTCTGGTTTGGCCTCCCTCTCTGTTGGGTCAAACCTTGTACACATGAATCCAGAATCCCACCTTCTTGTGAGAGGGCCTACTGACCATCCAGGAGAAGGCTCAGACTGCAGCATCACAGTCAGGTTGTAGCTAAGGGCTCAAGCCACCATCATACCAGCCTGCCAGTCAGAGGGCACACACATCGGCTAAGCACCAGCTGGGTATGAATTCACTTTTCCCAGTTGTAAAGGTGGCCTAACCAGAGAAATGGTGTAACTAACATGAAATATTTATTCATGCCCAACATTATCACAAAACCCTGCCTTGTAATTGACAAGTGACCTCTGGCACCAGCCCCATGGATCCCAACTCAACTGTTTACCTACCAGGAACCTCTCCTTGATTTCTGAAATAATTTTGATTTGCTTTTTGCCTTAGGGAAGCACCTCAGAACTAATGTTTTGCCCCCTACTCCTTCCCAAACCACTTGCCCTGCCAGAATTTTCTGCTCCAGGCTGTTGCGATGGTATTTCTGCCTCCCTCTAGTGGCCAGAACAGGTAGTACAGACTTCTGGCTAAGTCTTTTTGCTGTATTCAGAATTCAGGACTAATGGAAAGCCAAAAGGTGCAGTGGTAGGTGGGAGGTGGGATACTGCAGATTGAAGTAATGTGTGATGATGGCATCTCCATCCAGGTTCTGGCTTCTGTCCACAGAGACCCTCTTCCTCGGCTTCACACCAAGAGGCAAACAGCAATAGGCAGCCTGGCTCTACCCCTGCCCTTCCCCACTGCTCTGCCCCCATAGTCCCCAGGTTGGACAAGTATTGTTGAACAGATTGTCACTAGCAGGAGTTGCCCACAGCTTCTGACTTTCACTAGATGAGTGACATTGGCTCATACCTCTTTGTACCTGGGGTTTTCCTCAGATCCTGCAACAAGGACCTCATAGGAAGGGCCCACCCATATTCAGGGCCAGTTGAGGCCACGTTCACATGGAACAGAGGGAACCACCATGGACAGCAGGAGCATTCAAGTCACTCTCCAGAAGAAACCAGTGCTTAATGTCTCTGCCATTCCCCCGCCAACCACCAGCCACCTCATTCCCCATCTGAGACTGTCCCCACAGGTTCAAGGAGTCAAGGGCTCTGCCCTTAGCCAAGTCCCTCTTCCTGCCCTGTGGGAATCCCAGCAAACCGCAGTGAGGCTATTTACCTCTCTGCTCCACAAGTGCCTTAGAAACACAGTCCATCTTCCCAGAAAATGCCACCTGCAGCCAGTTTTACACACACAATTTGGAAGTGTTCAGGGACTCTTGAAGCCAGAGTGGGTTACTGCCCTCCTCCACAGAAGCCTGCCTCCCTCCTTAGCTGACACTCCCATCCTGTGGTTGTCATTCTAACTGATTGGGGCAGAGGGTGCTCACGGAAGCGAAGGAGAGAAAAAAGCAACATCCAAACACGTGTGTCCAACTGGACCATTGGTTAGATCACACTTTGTGAACCA